GCGGCGCCCTTGAAAGCGGTTACCCTAATGCGCATTTAAGTAGCTCACTTTCAGCATATGTGTGAGTGTGTGTATGTATGTGTGTGAGCATGTGCATGGGCCTTCCTAATGAATCAGCATTCATGAGCACCCAGCTGCATGCCGAAATACCAAAAAAAAAAAGATATACATACACATATACAAAATTTAAACAAAAAGAACAACCATCCAAACAAGCCAAACAACCATTTACGCCCATGTCCACGTTTGGCAGCGATTTTGGTTTTGAAAACTAAAAATTAGTCCGCCATTCACATTCTGTAAGCTTTGAACGCTGTTTGCTGCAGCGAAGTGAGTGAGCCGACATTGCGTATACGCAGCACGCAATGTTCTTGTTCAACAATTGAATTCAACCCAACAACTTTCACTGACTTAATGAAACTCAAGTGAAGCTATTGCACTCAATCCATAATTACATTAGAGCTGCATTGCAGTGCGCTCTCAAAGTGCCGCAAACTTATTTTGCAAGCAATTAATAAAGTTATTCAGTTCTTCGACAAAATGTTTATTCAATTTTAGTGCTGGCCAAACTTTGGGTATCCAACCAATATGCATGAAATTTAATTTCGAGTGCAAGTCAAACGGCAGAAAATATAAGAAGAATTTCAAGAATTTTAAGATAATCACCAGGGACCGCAAATAAGTGTTACGCATTTAAAAAAATTGAGGCTCAAAAGTATTCCCAAAAAGAGAGAGGAAAACACACATAAGGATATTTTTTTATGGCGAGTTCCGAAAAAGGATAAACTTTTATTGGTAATTTTTTATAAAAAAATTATTTTTAATAATTATTTTTGATTTTTATCATAAAAATCAATTTTAATTATTAAAAATAATTTTTTTTTAATTTATCAAAAAATAATAATTATTTTTTAATTTTTTCCTATAAAAGTTATAATCGTTACGGTCCCTGATAATCACCTTTAAAAATTGCTAGCCTATGTGTCAAATGAAGAGCATAATGTGCTATGCTAATGTAAATAACATAAATATGTTATTAACAGATAGACGTTATAGTTTGCCAACAGACGAACTTAACTCTGCTAAAAAGTTAATAGCGAGTCTTTGGCTTACCAGACAAATGTTAATTACATAAACAAATACATAGTTCGCATAAACAGAAATGTTAGGCTGATGATTTAAATTGACTTTTAAATGCTTACTAATGGGTTTGCTTTAAAAGGCTGAAAAGTGAAAACTGAAAAGGAAATATAATAATAGCCATATTTTACTCAAGAAATCCTAGAATTTTTATTTTGAATTTTAGTGAATCATTTATCTCATGTAATGAATGGTACAAATTTAACACAACGATTCTGTATGTCAGCTACTTGAGTGAGGAAAGCCAAGACATTTGCGTGTGTGCTTCAATTGAAATATGACACCATTGCATAGCAGGAAACCCCTGAGAACGATAAAAAGAACTGTTGTGTGTTACGGCATATGAGATCGTGTAAGGTAGCAGAGGCAATAAACACGGGCGTAATCATTAATCATCAGAGCTCAAAGTCAAAGATACAGAAACACAAATATACACACAGTAAGTTACATACACACACACACACACACACACACGCTCACTTACTGACAGCACAGAGCACACGATCCCACACTCACTCAATCATGTGTGAACGAGTGTTTAGGGAAAAGGCCTCGGGTCGTTGGCTGGGGGCTGCCTTAATCAATTCCAAACAGCAAACACTTGGAAAACGACGCGCAGCGCCAAAAGAACGCAAGGTTATGAAGGCAAATATATTTTGTATGATTTGTATACAATGCCCATTGATAGAGGCGGGGCAAGTAGGGGCGGACAAGAGAGAAAGAGCGTGTGCCAAGTGAAAAGGAAGAGCCATGAGGGAAATTCTAAGTGCGAGCACGCCAATTGGAAATGGACGAAATCACACATTTTGCAAAATTACGCGCGTAATTTGTTGCGATTTGATCAAACTACTATTTCCTCAGTTGTTGTTGCTCTAGATGTTTTTTTTTTTTTTTTGTTAAATTTCTGTTTGTTTCAGATTGTAAAGCTGAACTGTTGCGAAAATTGACGATTTGTCATTTTATGAGCGTCATTTGTTGTTGATTTCGTTGCGCTCGCTGTTGCCCCTAACGATGATTTCGATAATAACTTAGATGCAAATTAATGATAATTGGCTAACATTCCGTTCTAGTTCGTTTGCTGTCGATTTTTTTGTTTTTTGTTTGTTTTATTTTTTTTATTATTTTTGCAGTAAACCTTATCAGAGCGCGGTATACGTAATTAATATTATGTATACGGCACTCTGCTGACGTCATGAATATGACCCGAAAGTATTAAAGTTCAAGTGCTGGGCCAATCTATAAATAGAACGGATTAACTGCAAAACTCAAATGCAAATAGAGGCAATTAATCGACACGCGTAATTGAGTGCAATAAACAAAGATCTTAAATAAATAGTTCAGTCCATTTAAATGTATTCAATTTGAATTTTACTGCATTGCACATTAAATATGTATGAAAGCGAATTTTATTGCCGGGCCTGGTAGAAATTGAAACCGCCTGCTGGCATGCCTGGCTATTAAATTTATTTGTTTTCATTTCACTCCAGGTGCTACTCGGTTGCACTAACTTAAACAAACTAGCTAAACGTTGTGGTGCTGCTGCTGGCGATTTTCTGGGGTAAACAGCAAACTGTATATACATATATACTTAGGAAGTATATATATATAAGTATACATGCATATATATGCATACACTGAAAGAAAAAAAAAAAAAACAAAAAAAAACATTCTCTCTGATGCGCAAAGCCAAGCAAAACGAAACGGCTATGAAAAAAAAAAAAAAACAACAACAGAAAGAGATAGAAGAACAATGCCTGTCTATATGTATGTTTACGTGTGTCTGTATGTGTGTGTGTATTTATTTATGAGTAGTTTTTCCAAGTTTTTGTTTTTTTTTTGTCGTCGCTTTTGCTGTATTATTGTATTGTGTGCAGGTCAAACGCGTGGCCGCCTTTTGCTCGTTGGCTGTTTAAAAATGCGAAAATCTACAAGTGGTTGGCAAACAAAGCAAAAAATAAAAATAAAAGTATAAATAGCGAAAAAACGAAGACGTAAAATAAGAATGAGCATAAAAATAACAATAAGGCTCAAGTGAAAATGCCATTGAAATTGTTTTAATTTAATGCAATGCATCGTTCATGGAATTTCGAAAGCCTTCACTGAATAACTTAACATTTAAATAGTTCTAAAAGCCTATTAAAAACAAGTAAGAAAGCTCTAGTCGAGACTACTCGACTACGAGATCCCCTGAACCCTTGGAGTAATAGCTATTTCAATAATTTTTCGCGTCTATCAGCTTACACAAGCTTTTTTGTGGATGTACGATCTTCATGAAACTTTCAGATTATGATTATAACATGGATATGCATGTAATTGCCAAAGCACAAGTCTCTAGTATTTGAAATACGCTTTTTACAAAAGTGAGGGTGACGGGGTGAATTTAAGGTAAATTTTAACAAAAAGGTTTTTTATCGAGAAAAATAGATCGGGATGAGTTACCGATTTTTAATGATAAACTTGATATGCGCGCTGTAATTACGGACATTTAAAAAAAAATTTGAAGTCTCTAGCTCTTATATCTTCTGAAATCGACGCGTTCATACATACGGACAGACGGACAGACGGAC